ACGTGATGGATCTGGGTTTTCCCCAGCCAGGACTGTGTGCATGCATGTGGTAGCTGGAGGTTATGGCATCTCCTACCCACCTTTCCTCATGGGGATCCTTGGTCCTGGTATTTCCTGGGGCTGCCATGCCCATACCTCCAAGTTCATCCTGTCATGGAAGCTCAGCAAGGACATGTTCTTCCCCTGCTGGCTGGTGATGCAGTGAATGCTGCTTCCAGCTCTGAGAGTGGGGTATTAAATGGCTTTTAAAAAATGAAAACAGGAAATAGGTGCAGATGGAGTGAGGAGGGTGGCATTCACTCGGTCTGCACCTGGAACTTAGGGAACCCCAGGAGCAGGAGGTTCACCTTGAGAAACACCAGCTGCTCCACCAAACCAGGATCCAAGCAGGTGTGGTGGGGTGTCACTACACTCCCAACAATGCTGAACACCCTCTCATTCAAAACACTGGTTGATAAACAGGGCAGGTCCATGGGAATATCTGGACACATGTGGCTGCATCTTGCCCAGTAGACCAAGGGGTTGCATAGCAGCAGCTCCATGTCCTCGGTGAGATAGGCAGCCACCAAGGCCTGAGCACTACCTGTCTGATGGTGGGGTCTGGTGCCTCTGGACCCCACCATGAAAGCCATGCTCTTGGCCCACATTGGCAGCACCTGTGGTGGAGGAGGAGGCTGCCTGGTGGATGGCATGCTAGCATGAGACAGTGGATCCTCCATTTCCACATCCACCTGCCTCCACCATTCTGCCTTCCTGTTTGTCTTCACCAGCACCTCCATACACTGATTCAGGCTTTGGCTGCTGTATATGGTGCCCCGTACCCTTGGGTCATGCATGGCAGTCTGCATGTGGACCATACTTGACAACAAGGGATCAAACCATTTCCTGATGCTCTCCTTCAACCACATCACCAGTGCCTGCACATCTGGTGACAGCGGCTTGCCCCAGCCAGGAACATTGATCCTGTGGAAGCTCTCCATTTGGCTCTGAAGTTCCCTCACTATGGGGATCACCTGGGTAAGGAGGCCATCGCCAGTGCTAAGTGTCTTGGTGGTCTCAAGGAAGGGCCTGAGGACCACCAAGATCTGAGAGATGGTATCTCATTCAGCTCTGTTAAGGGAGCCACTGATCCCAATCTCCCCAAGAAAGGGCATCTCGTGGATGGCCTTCTGTTGCTCCACCCGCCTTTCAAGCATCAGGTAGGTGGAGTTCCATCAAGTCTCCAAATCCTGCATGATTTTGTGGTGTAGGATGTTCATCTCTGCTTGTTTGTCCTGCAACATCTTGCTCCCCTTGATGCTCTGATGGAAGTAGCCTGCCACCTTCCTGCATTTGGCAATGAGCTTGCTGGTGGTGCTGGCACCATCACTGGAAGTCCTGTCCCCCTTCCAAGGTGTCCCTGACAATGAAGTGAAACTTGTATGCCACACAGCAGATACCAACAAAGTTAGCATCACAGACCACCTTGACCATATTGGCCCCATTGTCAGTGACCATGAACACATGAGTGAGCTTGTCCTACCCAATGAGTCACCCCTGTACCAAGTGGTTCATGGCACCCATGATCTCTGTTGCTGTGTGGGACTCATCCATCACCTCAGCTTGAAATAGAGCCCACTGACAGCCTGACTTGTCACACCAGTGCCCTGTGAGGAAGAGGTAGGCATGATCTCCACCCCAGCTGCTCCAGATGTCTGAGGTGAAGTGTAACACCACCTCTGGACTTGCCTTGCACAGCTCCTCCCTCAAGTACTCTCTGCATGCCTCATACTGGAAGGGCACTACTGTCCGGCTGAAGGTGGTGCATGCAGGCACTTGGTAGGATGGGATCATGAGTACCATGAGCTGCCTGAACCTTGGCTGCTCAACTAAGGAGAATGACTGACCATCCACAGCAAGCATCTCCCCAGTGTTCTGGGTGATCTCATTTTCCCTTGCAACGTGCCCCCCTTTCTGTCTGCCTTTCCCCCACTGTTCCAAGATGGCCTGCCTCTGCTTTGGGGGGATGGGGGTTTTGGAGTGAGAGGGGGACTTCCCTTTGGGCACTCTGCCACTGGTGTCAGACTGAGGAGGAACAAGGGAAAGGGGGTGGTGCCTGCAGAGATGCATCAGCATCCCTGTGATGCTCATGTGTTTGTTCCCTTGCCCTGGCTGGTTTGGGCTCAGCAGTGCAGGCAGATAGCAACTGCTATCTGCTAGTGGGATCATCTGCCAGCTCAAAATGATCCCGGACCAAACTACCCGCTCACTTCTGGGGTGTGGGTATATGTGTGGATGCTGCAATTTCCCCCTCTTCAGCAGGCAGAGGCATAGCAACAGGAGCAGTGGACTCAGCTGAACTGCTTGCTTCTGCAACCTCTACCTCAGCCTCCTCTGAAGTGCTGTCTGGGGAAGAAGGCCTAGCTCTTGGAGAAAATTGAGGGGTGTGGAGCACCAACTCAGCTGATTCCAACTGCTTCCCTGGAATTTCCCTTGCTAGGGCACTCAGATCCAGATCCAGTTCCAGATCTTCCTTTGACACTGGAAGTCTCAGCATGGGAAGTGAAATGGGGGTGGAGGAGACTATCATGTTGGTACTGGTGGGGGAGGCAGGTTATGGCTGCTGCATCCTTGGAGAGGATGCAGTCTCAGGCAGAGGCAGTGGCACTGGCACTGCTTCCCTCTCCTTGCCACTTCTGGAAGCCTCATCCCTGCTAGTTGTAGAAAAGATGCTGTCTCTCAGGAGGGGAACTTGCACCTGTCCCTCTACTCCCTTTCCACCTCTCCCTGAAGGCTGCCAGCTGCCTTTCCACCACACTGCATGGTATTTCATAGTGTCTTGTTTTTATACAAATATATAAATGTATCTGCATACCTATATAAATTCTATAATGTATGTAATATGCTGAAAGGTATAAATGTATACAAATAAAATATAAATGTATCTCCCTTCCTACATAAATTCTAGAGTGTAATATTCAATATAATTATAAAATTGAAAAGAATAAATCGATGAATATAATAATAAAATAAAAAGGTCTAGAAGAAAGCAAAAGGTATTTTGGAATCCCACTTGCAAGGCTAGCATGTAGGAAATCCTTCAAATCAATGCTATTAGTAGCCTTTGTTGTGTAACGCTCCTGAGCTGCTTGTCAGACCCCAAAGCAGAAAGCAGGCCAGTTCAAACAATGTTGCCTTTTATGTTATTTTTCCATCCCTCTCCCAGAGCACTGGGCTTGGAAGGGACCTCAGGGAAGGATCACAGTCACTGGCCAGCTACACAGTCAATACGAGAGCAGTCCTTCCCCACCTTCCCTCCTCTTCCCCCTCCCTCTCCTTACCTTCTGTTTCCCTGCAGGCAAGCCCAGCTTCAGCTTCAAAACTCCAAACATTTCAAAACTTTCAAAATGTTTCAGCTGCCCTCATTTTGTTTCCAGGTTGTTTCAAAAGCCTTTGTTTCATTTCAGTTTTACTGTTTCAAGCTCGAAATGAATTGAAACAGCATTGAAATGAAACAGCCAGTGGAATTTTGCACAGTCCTAACAGGTACCACTGTAATTGTTCTCTTTGCCCTGTCATTAAAGATGTCAACAAAATATTCTCCAGAGCACATCTTCCTACAACTATGAGTAATATCAGAAGGATGCTCATTTCCTCAAAATATGTCCCAGTTTCAGGTACAAGAAAATTCTCCAACCTATTCCCCATTACCTAATCTATCTCCAGTCTTTTAAATACAACTTACAGCCTCTTGACTATGCCTGTAAGTGGGCAATCTTAAATATAAAATATGACTTGTTCTAGAGACCTAATGGAAATAATCCCTTAATTTTAGTATTTCACACTGGTAACATCATATGCAGCCCAGCTAGGGCTTCTAATAATGTGATATATTTTTAACAAAGAAACATTCTGATTTTTTAATGTTTACACAAAATATTTTGACATTAAACTCTGCCAAAGTAGTAAGCATTCATATTACTAATGCTGATATATGCAGAATAGTTAAAAGAATACCAAAGTTATTTTAGAAATATTTCAGTACAGCACCAATCGGACCTAGACAGGTTACAGAGGTGGGCGGACAAGAATAGGATGGGATTCAACACTGACAAGTGCAAAATGATGCACCTGGGGAAGAAAAACAGACACCATACCTACAGGTTGGAGAACTCCCTTCTTGTCAGCACAGAGGCAGAAAACGATCTCGGAGTCATCATTGATTCCAAGATGAACATGGGCCAGCAGTGTGGGGATGCAGTCAAGAAGGCCAATTGCACCTTGTCATGCATCCACAGATGCATCTCAAGCAGGTCCACGGAGGTGATACTTCCCTTCTATGTGGCACTGGTCAGGCCGCAGTTGGAGTACTGTGTCCAGTTCTGGGAGCCGCACTTCAAGAGGGATGTGGACAGCATGGAGAGGGTCCAGAGGAGGGCCACTCGCATGATCAGGAGTCAGCAGGGCAGGCCCTACAAGGAGAGGCTACGGGACCTGAACCTGTTCAGCCTCCAAAAGAGAAGGCTGAGGGGGGATCTAGTGGCCTGTTACAAACCAGTCAGTGGGGACCAGCAGGAACTGGGGAAGTCCCTGTTCCCCTGAGCACTACCAGGAGTGACCAGGAATAACGGTCACAAGCTGGCAGAGGGTAGATTTAGGCTAGATATCAGGAGGCGCTACTTCACTGTCCGGGCGGCTAGAATCTGGAACCAACTTCCAAGAGAAGTGGTGCTGGTTCCTGCCCTGGGGGTCTTTAAGAGGAGGCTAGATGAATACCTTGCTGGGGTCGTTTGACCCCAGTATTATTTCCTGCCATGGCAGGGGGTCGGACTCGATGATCTGCTCAGGTCCCTTCTGACCCTAGAAACTATGAAACTATGAAACCACCTGTTAAATTATTCACCGTTACTCCTGTATAACCTTAAACCTCAGTACTAAAGGCAATGATACCAACCATATAGATTACTGAATTCAAAGTCTCAATAGTTTGAAGATCCAAAAGACAAATTAATTTTGGGGTTATGGTGGCAATATGCTATATTTCCCATGATCAAGATTTATGTTCAACTATTATAGATACAAAACCTGATAAAAACTGACCAATTTTAGCAAAAGAATATTTCAATCTGTCTATAAAATTTACTCTCCACCTGCAATATATTTTTTTCGCTGGATTAAGAAACCATTGCTTTTTCTTTTGTGCTGTATGACCTTTCTTCTAATGTGCTTTAGTTAAATATCTGGATGACTTGAGAAATCGTAAATCAAAAATAATGTAAATAGACTTGACTCAAAGTTCCATTTGAATTAATTTGGATTTCTCCTCTAATAATCAGGTGATCTCCTGCACTCCCCTAGGCATAGTTGAATGTCTTTGCTTATGCAACAATTTAAAAATGCAGAGCAGAGGTGATAGCCACCTTCCTTGTGGAAACAGGCTCACATTCAGGGAATGAATTATACCTGTGAATCCAGGGAGGCAAAGACACCGGTAGCCTCCAAGCTTGTTTAAGCAGCTTCCTCCATGTAAGCAAGGCAAAACTTCACACTCATCTATATCCAGTTCACAGAGTGACCCATAGTATCCAGGTGTGCAATTACAGGAGAATCTCAGGGAAAGGAGAAAAAGATAAAGAGAAATCAATAGAAACAAACAATATGATCTACTGAAGCACTGCAAAGCTTTCCATATGGTTGTTTTTTGAGCTGTGATCCCTTATCACCAACCATGTTAAAATAATCAACAGACTTCACTCATTTCCATGTCTCTGAAGTAAATAGTGTGATTTACAGGGTTTTTTTTTAAATTAGTAGAAAAACTGTGCTCAGTAAGTTCAGTGCAAACTAAAAAGAAAGAAATAATGGCTAAAGTTGTGTGTGTGTGTGCATGTGTATTGATAACTACAATGTCTTAGACCTAAACACAACACATATTTACAACAGAAAAGCTGATTATGTGAAGGTAGAGAATAACAGGATTTCAGTTCAATCATTGTACCTGACGGCTAATATTTCTGATTCTAATCTATGGACAAGCTGCACCAAAGCCAACATCATAATCTCACATAGACCATCAGTTATAAGCAGGGATGAACCAGGTGGGATTCAGAGGGTTTTACACCTCTTCAAATGTGTACTTCATGCACAATGATCTCTGAGTTCAGTGACTTCTCAGTATGGCTCCTGCTAGAGTTGTCACTTTTGTGCTGGTTCAGAGCACAAAAGGAACAACATCACTACCACTTGCCCTCACCCTCTTTTCTTCTGCCACCAAATTTGGCAGAATTCAGTTGTAAGCAACTGACACAGCTGGATATGCTTAATCTTATCTTAGTATAGGCAAAATCTGGCCACAAATGGTAGATACTAAATGGTCAAACTAATAACTGAATAATTTATTTGACAGCAGAATCATGTATCCATTTTCACTGAGAATTACCTATGCACAGGGTATGATTCTTACCAATCTGATGCTTATTTCCAACTGTTTAGGAAAATAGTTTCTCTGAACAAATATAGCCTATTGATTTAACAAGAAATGGATGCTATTAGTATTCACTGTTTGAGATTTAGCAGTAGGCCACCTAAACAGCACAAATAAGTAACTCATATTGTTTCTGTTCTTTGATCAGATGATTTAGGGGTTTTTTTTCTGTGCAGAAATTCTTTATGTCTGTAATAAATGGGCACTTAAATGTCCCTTGCTTATGCATTGGTGATCTTTTTTTTATAAAATGGGTTATTACTTAAAATTGTATATGAATATATTATGGAAATACCAGTGGCAACGTGTAGGGGGTTCATGTGGGTGCCCAGCAGGAGTGCTGATAGCCCCCCTGCAAGCACTGGCTGGAGAGTGGGGGCATTAGGAGAAGTGTCACTGGTACTTCTGGGAGATTTGCCTGTCCTTCTAGGTTGGCATGATCACTTCTCCCACCCCTCCCGTTGGCAAGATAAGCCGCAGGGGGACCCCCAACCAGCTGCCCATGGTAAATGCTAAAAAGAGTTAAACAATATGTATGAGTCTTTCTGCAATGACAATCCTTGTAAATAGCTCCATTGCTGTGTTTTCTGCAAACATTCATGTGAAGAAGAATATGACTTTTCACATATATTTGTCACTAATGAACATTGCAAGTACTATCAAAGTTAGTAGGTTGATTTTATACACAAATAAATTTGTAACTGGTTTTCATGCAGCTTTAGTTACTAACCTGTTTATAAGATCTAGGCAGGTTGCATTGTTTTTGCAGGGTCTTGATGAACATTCATTAATGTCCACTTCACACTGTGACCCAGAAAAGCCATGTTGACAGGAACATCTAGCAAATAAAGTGGCACTGGCTGAATGTGACAAACTTTTCCATTTATTATAAATTATGAAAGCAACAATGAAGTAGTATATTTTGGGGTTTTTTAAAAATAGTTTTCCCCAAAATGCTATTAGAATTACTGTTGTCATAAAAATGCATTTGGTTTTAGTTTAAAGAAATCAGGGAGAATTATGAAAGTATAATGATCAAACTGATCAAACAAACAAGCAAACAATTCAGACAAAGTCATGGAACAAAAACAGAGAGAAAAAAATAATTAGAGTATCAAAATTAATATTATAATTTCTCTGCCTCATAATACATAGCTTCAGTATTCAAAGGTCTTCTCACCTGTAACTATTAACCCCATCTACACAGAGACCATGGTTCCAGCATGGATGGGAAATGCACTCATCAGTGTCAATTTCACAGTAAGCACCTTCAAATCCTGAAAGATAAATGATAACAGTACGGATCAATGATCTCTACTACATTGCATGAATGTCAGGATCAAAGACAACAAAGACCCTGGTGAATGCCATCTAAATGGAACTTGTAACCTCCTAGCATTTTTATCCCTCAGCCTTAACAGACAACATTTTCCCTTAGATAATATAACAAGTTTAATCATACTTTAATGCACACAGAGGACTTGTATGCAAAAAATGAGCACCAAAATGTACTGGAGAAATGTAGCCTATTTTAAAAGTTTGAAAATGCTTTATCAGGAAGTGAAGGAGTAGCTCTAAATGTTAAAAAAAAAAACCAACAGATCCATATTGAATACAGTTATTTTAAATTAATCTTGCAGAGATCACATTTATTCAAAACAATCAGTAGATGAGGAAAAACATGTAATTGGTTTCAACACTGAAATGCATCAAAGAAAGCAGTTCATTATAATTCTTATCTGCATAACTCACCCATGCCCATGAGAAAAAAGAATTTATAGAGTGATACACAAGAAAGTTCATTTACTGAAACATGCCAAATCTTAACATTCCAGCATAAAATAATAATTTTGTTAAATACAAAAACTTGTCAAAATGGTACAGGAAAAGCTGTAAACATGCAAAGACAGTTTTCCCAATGACTGACATCGAACATAACACAACTTTCTCTGTCTAGGTTCTAAGCCCAGGGAAGTGAAGGGGGACCTTTCCACTGAATTTTGAAGGGTTTGGAAAACACCCCTAAAAAATACCTTTCAGGCAAAATTTTAATAAAACTTTACAAATTTTATGATGTTTCTCAAGCTGGGATGCCTGCTTGGGATCAGCTTTGTCTGATCTCTGCAACTGTCCTTAAAGTAAGCCCAGGTATGTCTACTAGAGCAGGGGAGGAACCCTGGCTCCTTCCTACTCTGATATTCAGGCCTTTTGTTCCTAATCCACCCTAGTTGTTCTACGGCTCTGCCACAGAAGCTAGATTTTACTCCAGCTCCTAAAAGAGAGTCTTTATCTCTTGTTGGGGAGAACAAATGCAACCTGAAGTTCTAAACAGCAAAGCAGTCTCTTCCGTAAAGGTGTTTATTTTGGCAAAGGCCACAGAGGAAAAAGGTCCTACTCCCTGCAAGGAATTAAGCAGTCCCTCTGTCCCCAGTCCATGCTGCACAGCACTGAGCATTTAAAAAATAACTCAGTTTTCTTTCTCTAGTCTACCCAGAGCCCCAAAGCTGTTCCTTGGTTTCTCTTTCTAGACTGTATTCCTAACCAGAGAACACCCAACTTGTCCATCCTTGTTGAATCTATTGTAATGTTTATTTCTCTCTCCTCCTGGGTGTTACCTAAAATCCCCACCTTTTTTGAAGTGTCAGCAAAGCTATTCAAGTCTTGGGCTTTTCTATATCTTTAACCCGCTCTTTCTCCATGTACTAGCTTTATAGGTTGTTGATAGTCCCTTAATATGAGGATGACAGTCTTCTAGTGAATGGGAAAGTCATCAGTGAATCACTGGATGACTGAGGAGGCTGATCCCAGATCCACACTTTTGATTACAGACTTAGCAAATAATTCCAGGAGGGAGGAGTAGATCCTGGTGATGTCAGGTCACAGCTCTTTTACTTTCTCTCTTTTGTCTCTCCTCCCTCACAGCGAGATGAGTTTCCTTGAAATTATTGATGCTCTGTTGTACACCATCATATCATTGGGGATAATTCGGTATTTGAGTCTTCCAGGTATTGACATTAATATGGGAGTATAAGACCCCTGCTCGGAGCAGGTTGTCAGGCATTGTTATGGCATGCTTTGCCCAACGCAGCTGGTGTTGTATAAATATGGCTTCAATGCTGGTGGTATGTTCTTGAATCAGAACAGTGGTATTAGTTTTTCAGTCCTTCCAGTTGATATGGAGACTTTTCTGAACTTGTTGCTGATGGCAAAGTTCCTAAACTTTCAGATCTTTCCCACATGTTGTCCAACTTTGACACCTATACAAAAGTGGGGATGATGAGAGCCTGGTACATGAGAAGTTTGGTTTGAGTTCTGATATAATGAGCAGCAAAGACATGATTTCAGAGATGTCCAAAGGCAATATTGGCAGCTTTTATCCAACATTAAATATTGTCCCCTATGTTTACTATTTGGGAAAGTGAGTAACCAGGTAGGGAAAATGTTCCACATCCTCCAAGGATTGCTGTATAATTATAAAGTAGAGAAGCTTGCTTTGATGTTCTTCAAGGCCTTTTGTTAAACTGGTGGATATGAAAGATAATTCTGAATAGATTGTGTGGAATGACTTTGATGAAATTGTCTCCAACACTGAAATCTCACTTCAGGAGCTCTTGAAAGTACTCGTTCCAGCATGTGTAGATGTTGGAGCTGTCTTTAAAGAGTGTTCCATCCTTGAATCTCAGAGGGACAGCTCCCTGTGTGTTTGCCCAATAGATAGCTTTGGTTGCTCTGAAGAAACTACACATGCCATTGCTATAAGCACACTTTTAAATCTCTTTTGCCATGCCCTCCCACAACTTGTTCTTCCACTTTCAAATTTTCCTCTGGGTCTTGGCTAAAATGTGGTGATAAGTGCCTTGCTTTTTGCAACTGATGTTATTCTGCCAAGCTTTGAAGGCTCTCCTTTTTCTGTCATTGAGCTCTATCATTTTCATTGAACCAGTCCTGACGTTTCTTTGTGGAGAAGCCTAGGGATTCTTAGCACACCTCATGGATTCATTTCCTGAGACTCTCCTAGTGATCAATGATGTCAAGATAATCAGGGAGTTTAGAGTTTCTCACTGAGAAACTTCTGGAGATGTTTGCTTTTACCAGGGTCTCCCCTATGCCTGGGAGCCATCAACTGCATGAAACCTTTAGGGATCATGGCTGCAAATGCAATCGTGTGAATCACACACTAGATCCCAATGCACCTTTAGCTTTACTATGTTTCCATATTCTAAATCTAGTATTGTGCCCTGTTGTGGCAAGTAAGAACTGAGCATCCTCCCTGACTCTACATAATTTTTAGGCCTGTGTGAAATGGCTACTATTCACTTCAGATTCAGATTTGGCTGATTTGGGGGACAGTAATTCGATTCAGTGATTCAAATCACTGTCCTGATTCGATTCAGCTGAATCTGATTTGGACATTCGGCTGCTGCCAAATCTCCAAATCAGCCAGGCCAGGTCCATCCCCCATCCACTCTCCCAGCCAGGGGAAGGTTGCCCTGCCCACCCCAGCTCCCGGCTCTTTGGAACAAAAGCCCCAACTCAGTGGGTGCTACTGGGTGGGGTGTGATCCCTGCTGCCCTCCACTGCATGGGGGGGCTCTCTGTGAGACCCCTGACCCCCCCCCACTCCCCCAGCTCCTCCATGGGTGCCCTGCCCAGGCCAGCTCTGGCCCTTTAAGGAAAAAAAAATAACCCAGACTCACCACTCCTGCTGGCAGGGGAGGGGGCAATCCCTGCTGCCCCCCACACTGTCTCATGCCACATGGGGGGGCTCTGCACAATCCTCCCAAAGCCCTGAGGCTGCACCAGCAGCAGTGAGTCCTGAGGCTTGATTTGGTTGGGGGTTTTTTAAGGGCTGGAGCTGGCCCAGGTGAGGCACCCATGGGGAGGCTGTAGGAGTGGGGGGGTCAGGGAGCTCATGCCAGAGCCCCCCCATGCAGTGTGGTAGGAAGTTGGGATTGCTCCCCCTACCCAGCAGCATCTGGTGAATACCGTCGCTTTTTTTTAAAGTACTGAGCTGAAGAAGGCAAGGCAGCCATGGGGAGGCTGGGGGAGTCAGAGAGGTCAAGGGGGCTGGCAGGGATCCCACCATGGTCCCCTCCCTACTCCTCCAGTTCCCCCTCCACTGCCCCTAGTACTTACCAGCTCACAGTCAGCTGCAGCTCCATGCTGCAGCCACTGGGGACTCCCTGAATCACCAAAGCTCTTTGAATCTTTTCTAAAGAATCAGAGAGCTTTGAATCAATTCGGGCCTTTTAATTTGTCTCCTGACTTGATTCAGATTCAGAGATTCGGCCACCAAATTGGGCCAAATCTCCTTCGAATTGAATCACAACCTGAAGCTTCGCACAGCCCTAAGAGTTTTAGAAATAATCTGGGCCAATCAAGACAGGAGCTTGTCTAACAACTGCTTTCTCTTGTACAAATTAAATCATGTTATGATTTTTAACATATACTGCATCATCGCACCAACATGTTATAAATTGTTAACATGTTGTCCCCATTATAATACCAAACACACTACTATGAAGTAACACAGTCATGCCACAAATTGCTCCTATATACATGGAATTATATGTCTATAACTCAATCTTTATACTGTCCATATATCTTTCCCATATAAACCTTTCAAGAGCTGAGTCTGTATATTTCAGTTGATATTGTAATGACTCTATTATATTGCTCAAACTATGCCATTATAATCAAAGATTCATGGTGTAACAGCACTAACATGCATGACCATTGACATTAGATTGACTGTCAGCTATTATGGTGACAATCAAATTGCATAAGAGTATCATTATATCAGAAATTTCATTAAAACAGTTATGAAAAAATAACTAGTGGAATTCAAATGACTGTTATTGCCCAAAATGTGAGGAATGTTTTGTTTGACACTATACTAAATGTCAATGTTGGTCTAAAAGCAGTAGATAGATTTAAAAAAAATAATAGCACTATTATAGCAATGCTTTCCATTTATATCAATCTGAAAATATAAAAGTTTTTCAAAAAGTGCTTGGGGTAGCATTAGCTGATTTTTACAGACGGAGAAGCTCAAGTACCAACAAGTTAAGTGGTTTGACTAAGGCCATAGAATCATTGGCAGAGTTCTGAATGAAACCCAGCTCAGCTGAATCCCTACATCAGTGATATCCATCACAACATATGAACTGTGAGTTGCCAGATTGTTGAATTTTGATTTAGTAATTAGTTCTTTGGCCTGATCTTGTGCTGTGCCTTTTTTGTGTTTTTGTTTTTTCCCCGTAGAATTTTGGTATTTC